AATTAGCTCAGCCCAAGTATCATCAGAATCCGTCCAACCTGCTTGGGAGCCCAAGACACTTGTTGATGAAATTAACTGTCGAGATTGTCAAGCTATTTTGCTGACCGATCACTATTGGTCGAGAAAGGCAGCCTGAGGCGGGCTTAGCTCGCCCCTTTTGACACCGCCTCGACTGCTTGTGACAATAACACTTAAAGGCATATGGCACGATAATCCAGTACCCGAATGCTAGCAGGGTGCTATAAAATGAGAAAATGGCGAAAAATGAAGTGAAACGGTCAAAAACCTCGTTCATAGGACTCAAAAAGCAATTTCGGACGAGTTTCCCGTAGGCATCTTGCCAATACCCGCTACGGTAGATCTGGCTGCACGTATGTACTCATATATCCATGCAGCACCCAGCTGCTCTATTCATCACTTCGCTTCATATTTTACTTCGCAAATGAAGCAATACGAGCATCAGGTACGGTCGTCCATTTGTGGGCGGGCGGGCGCGGTGGGCGTTGGGTCGGTATGTTGCAGCTTGATAGGGCCTTATAAGGGTACCTTCCTTGAAAAGGCGCTACGCAGCGCCTGCTCAGGGACGCGGAATTCCGTCCTGCCAAGCATATTAATCCTACTACTCGTCTTAGGGATTAATCGTGCCAACTGCCTTTGAAGATAAGAAAAACAAAAAACCAAAAACATTCGAGGGAGGGTGACCCTAACACCCCACAAAATTGGGTGAGTGATGCGCCACAACGACGCTGTCGAAACTCTATTCTCGGTTTCCAACTATTAGATAGTGTCGCGGCAAAAAGGGGTGGAGTTATCTGGGGGCGGGGCATGTAATGTAATGCAATGCGTGCAGAAAATGTGTGTTGATGGTCACTTTGCACAATTGGCAAAAATTGCCAAAGGAGCCCTTCGCGGAAAAATTGTAAGAATTATAATTACACGTCTCCTGGAATCCGCATGCGACTTACCTCACCGTATAATCGCGCCGCTCCTTCAGGCTGCAGAAATTGATGTAGCCCGTCCTGAGCACGAAGGCGATGATAGATGGTTTCGCATTCTTGCGACAGTGGAGGGCTCGTTCCTATTTATAGCAGGACATCTGTGAAATAACTTACTTTCTGTCTTTCATGTACCCTTGCACCATCTTGGCAAGCGTGAACTTTCATGGCGAAAACCCCCTTTTCCACCACCAAATCTATGTAATAGGCGGCAGAGACAGCAGTGGCAAGTAGCACATGTTACGCTTTGCACGGTCCTTTGGTCAGGTCCTGGATCTCAAGCTAGCCGAGTCTTTTATCCTGCCTAGCTCGGTTCACTGCATACGATGATACCTTGGGGAGAAACAAAACTTGCCTGCTACCATAATTAGCCTGGGAGATTTTGAACAGCCCGAATCGGGCTTGTGTGATATTGAGGATAAAAGGATAAATTCTTCGCCGTTTATCAATCCCTCTCCCATGTGGGATGCGGCAAGATTTCTTTCCATTCAGAAACCGTAGCTATGAATGCCGATTGTGGTCATACAAGAACTTGGGGGACCAGCGCATGTACAAGTCAGTGTTTTATCCTCCAGACGAACCTGGGCTACCAATTTACCGACTCGCCGTGAGGATATATAGGCTTTGTTGACTGGCGGGAGTCGAGCCGGGATTCGAACCTGGGACCGCGCGAGTGGTAAGCCACTTTTCACTACACCACCTCCGCCTCTGTGTGGTATTACGATTTTGCCAATGAAGTGAATATGCTGGCGCATCGTGGGCGGATTGAACAGCCTACATGTGACTTTCTTCTTTACTTTCCATAAGACCTGTAGCTTCTTTGCTTAATTCTCGCCGTTAAGCTGCGAAAAAGTGAGTCTCAAACCTCAATGGGCAAGGCAAAAGCTCGTTCGCCATAGGCGGAGTCGTACTCTCGTACCTCCCCCGTACCTTTCTTTGTTGTTCGCCACTCTTAACCTCTCTTTTCCAAAATGCCCTGAAAAAGAATTGCCAAATTCACGAAGGCGTAAGATAGGCCCGACCCCACCCTTGATGAAGCAGTGGTGGGTCGAGTGCGTTCAGAAATGGGTTAGCCGCTAGCAAAAAAATTCTGTGCAAGTGCGGCCACCCAGCAGAGAATTCCATTTATTTGAATATCCACTGTTTTTCCTTTTTTTCTGCCATTCATTGGGCAAGATGCATAGAATCTCACGAAAGCATTCCTCGAACGGCCAATCTAATCGGGATCGTGTCCATTCCGCTGAACATTCCCTTGATTTAGCTGATCAAGGATCACTCTTTGAGGTCTTTGCGCTCACTCATTCATCATAGCTTGCAGATGTTGATAGGTCGTCAGTTTTAAAATTCCACCTTTCGCAGGTGTGCTCTAGACCGCCATGATGGCAAGCTGAGAACGTCTTCGGCGCGCATATGCTGTCAGAATTTTTCGCACTTCGTGCAGACCCTACTTCCTCAGTCAGCCCCTCTTTATCCAGTTTCATTTTGTTAATTTCACTTTACTAACTTTTGCAAGTCTGGCTTTGCCAATCCGTCTTGTGATCAATCGCTTCTTTTTTCCTCCAATGCCGTGTTTCGCACTACCTTCAAAAGTCAGAAAGTTGTATACATCTGAGGCAGGAAGCTGATTCTGTTTTTGCCACGAATTCACATTCTATCCGGGCAGTTGAATGTGTTGGGAACAGGCGATCCAGCTGTGAGGAAAACCCAGCCAGCAGTCACACCTGTGTACTAGTCTCCCAAACACTTTGCCGTCCCCACCGGCTTCGGAATGAAACAGTTTAAATTTCTGGGACCTGGGGATCACACGGAATGCAGCGAGTGGTATCTCGAGCTACTGCGCCGGATTTATTGATATGGAATGAAACCGATCTTGTGTCTTTCTCTCACGGCTTACAGTCTCGTTCGTTGTCTATGAACTTTTATGCTTCAATCAAGGCTTGCACGGGTCTCGATCCAAGTAACTTGCGGCAAGCTAGCAGCAAGTCGCGAATCTTTCCTCTTAACTGCTGGTCTGTCTGCCCATACGTCTTGAAGTTTGTACCCTACTATTCTGTGCCTTCTTCAGGACATGTCATCACGATGGGGTTGCTGAATCGCGGAAAGGGCACCAGAAAGTCATTAGATTGATGTCGTCACAGCGTAGCCGGGCCAGGGTTTAGCGCAAGTTTATTCCAGGCTCCCTCGATACCTTCTCATCCCCACTCATTTGACAGCGGGTCAAATCTGCTTATTCTGCTAATGTTTTTTCTCAAAATTACGTGTCTCGCGTCAGATTACGTGGGAATCAAGGTGGTGGGTACGATAACTTGGCAGATGTGTGGCTAAAAATATGCCAGATAGAGATAGAAGCCTTTGCAAGCGACGACGTGTAGCTGGCAACTGGCAACGAAAGGCGCGTTCACGGGTCACGTCCACACATGAGCAGCTCGAACATCAACGCTGGGCCTCGAATTTTCTTCCCCGGTACCACCTCCTTCCACAGACGACCACTCATTGCCATACGTTCCCAAAACTCACCGTCGAAGGGGTAAGGTTGGGTAGACTCGCTAAAGACCGTCAGAAATAGTTCGGAGGCCGGCGCCGGTGTTTCGAAAGACTGAACGGTAGGGGGATAGTCTGCGTGGAATTGAAGTTGGAATCACACAATCAAAAGAATCGTTTTCAGTACAGAGGGTTCGACCCTCTAGCCACTCTACGCGAAGCCGCATCACACCAACGCTTAGGGATTCCGTACGGAGGAAGGGCCTTGTTGTGGCACGCCAGCGCTATTTTGACCCTGCCAATGGCCATGCCACAGTGCTGATTTCTAACCTTTCCATAAGCCTTAACCATTCAGGCCACAGAGTATACTGCAGCTGAGAAGTGCTGGGCGCTTACGCAGTTAGTGGCCTCGCACATACCGACTATGGACCCTACTTCTTCATTTATCCCTCTTCGTTTAACCTCTCCCTATTCAGCCTTATAGGGTATAATTATTTGGTTTCTATAACAATTTTGAGACTTGCCCCTGAAACCATGATGGCAGCTAACTCGTCCACCACCCGAAATGAAGCGGCGAAATAGGAACTCATCGTTGGTTTCTTAGCGCATCGTCTCGTGGTTTCTTCACATTCGCACCATTCGGAAAACCCACCATCATACCACAAATGGGACTGCTCGGATTTTCCAGTTTCTGAATTGACACCCTTTGGAATCGTTCGGAGGTGAACAGAAGTTTTCTCGATCGAGATCCCGGATTCCACTCTTGAGTGTAATTAGAGGCATCCAAAGAATGCCAGATGGTCGTCATGTCCACAGTTCACCTCTTCCAGACATCTTGAACGTTCACAGCTTTCATGGATGGATGAAGAACCCTCTGCTTACAGATGATTTGGGAAGTGACAGCTTGTTCTCGTTAATTAAGGTCCGACGATTGGTAACAAATGGTCGAGTTTGTTTCACTTGTTCTGTCTCGCTACGCATTACACATCACACAAAAGTGCACTCGACGATGAGACATCATGACCCCTCTTAAGTGGAGCGCAGGTTGTACTTTACCTGGATCACGAGTAGCATCGTTAAAAGCAGACACAACAAGAAAGTCGGAAGGGTTCACATGTGAGCTGAGAAGGACAATATGTGGGCGAGACACTCTGGTTAGAAGATACTGACGACAAGCCGGCGACATTTGAAACGTGGTAGCGACGACAGGCGTGTGTGAGGGGGCACCAAAGCAACGGGCGTCGGCTGCGGCGGCGGCGATCGAGCAAGCTAGCGAGGCAAGGGTTATTTACCCCGCCCCAGGCAGCGTCGATCCGCATTGATCTGATCGCTGCTGCCCTCGGTCAACCTACGCTCAAGCACTCATTCACTCCCCGTCTGTTCTGTCCAAATTTATCCCCTACCATACATGATCGTCGGCTGACTGAATACCGCGCCCACTACCGACTCCGTCCGTCCGCGGTACCCAGTGGAGTGGCCCTTTTATGAACGGCGCATCGCCTTCTCAAGGGGCCTTCTGGTGTGATGGAATATCTCTCGGTACCAGAAAGTCCACAACAGCCTCGACGACGGGACATAGACGTACCCAAGATGTGGAACGAAATACGAAAGAAGAGCATCAGCGAGTTGAGTCTAGTATTCGATTTTTTCCGCGGGCGAAGTCCGTCTACCAGTCAGGTAACGCACCCTGACAGGGAACGAGCCTGTCAGTCGACTGGTAACCTCCAGACGGCTGCCAAGGGACCTCGTCGCCGGCGGATGCAACGGACTTGGAAAGCTCTCTCTGCTGCTAACCTTGCTCGGCAGTACGTTCTTGGTGAGATATTTTTTGGCTTTGGAGTGTCATCTTCGCCGTTTTCGATTCTCCTATCCTCTTCAGTGATCTTATTATTTATTTACTATATAACTCATTGAAAGTTGTCTCTACGGAATCAGATTATAAACTCCGAAAACCCCTTGGGAAAAATTATCTCATAGCCTCTTTGCCCTCAACTTTCCAGCAAATGGTGCCATCAGTAAGCCTTCTTATAATGTTAATCTACCCTAAGGCTCATCCTATGCAAATCGATATCGATCTAGAGTTATGATTATTGATTGACATGGGCGCTGGTTGTGTAGGTAAGACAAAACAATATAACTGGACAGATGACACGGCTGCTGTGAGAAGAGAGGCAAAAGCTCGGTCGTAAGTGAGAGAAAGTCGAGAGCGGAGTCAAAAAGAAGTGGACCACGTAGGATTCACAGAATAACGATAGGGAGTATTAAACGTCAGCGGAAATCTCTCAGGGTTTCTGAGAAGCCACAATACCCCTCTAATTCCAAGCATTCCTTGAGGCGCGAATGGTTTATAATTTCCTCTATAAATCATAAACATCATCATGTGCGATGAAAACCACCAGCTTATTACCAATGCGGCGCCGGCTAAGTGGGTGTTTCAATCGAATCGAAATTAGTTTTCAGCTATTGAAGACTGATACTTTCAGTTCAAGAGGAAAAGGCGATGCAAGCGGTGCCCACAGCGCCTATCGATGCCAACAAATTCGTCGCCTATGTGACCGAACGACGGAAAAAGCGAATACTGTTCAAAGGAGAATATCTTGTAAGTTCAATCTTCTTGGCCATACTTTTTGTTACCGTATCGATTTGGAACGAGGGTCACCCAGCACCCAATCAAAACCAAACCTTTACAGGTTGCTAGTGTTTGCCCCAACCACCGATGGCCCTCCCCGCTCATGACTATGCGCCGGTTGGGGCTATCAGTAACAATCCCCCTTTCCCCGAAAGGCTCCTATCATCAGATCTGGCGAGAACTGGCAGCCATCCAATAAGTTTTGTGTAGGGAGCTCCGGGAAATTCAGATATTTTTTTAGTTGAAGGACGTTGTTCTTCACTATTAGACACTACAACAACTAAGGGCACATTCCACAATATCGGTAGGGGCGGAGACAAGGTAGCATTGTGTTCTCCGCCCTTCTTCTGAAGCCATGAGAGGTACCAGCTCCTCAGAGAGGCGACTCTCCTTCCCTGCCTAGGCAATCAACATGAAATGTGCTCGTGAGCTAATTACATCAAGAAGTTCCCAAAGGTTAATCGAAACCTTTACTGGGAGATATCCTAGTCTGATCACGCGTGTTTACGCTCGACTGTCACTAAACCTACCTATTCCTTGGCTAGTTATAGGTAGCTGTCCCCCACTTTTACGAACTTTCGTTTCTCTGGGTTTGTCTCTTTTCTCTCTTTATTATTTAACCCAGCGGGCCCGTGACTATGTCTTACACTGGGGAAGAAGAGAGCCGTTAGTTGCTGCGCAGGTTTTCCAGCTCGCGAATGCTGAAGAATGCACTGCCATAGCTACAGAGTTGGGGCGGATGAGGGCACGTCCCAGAAGTTTGGAACATTGAATTAAAGATGATCTAAACCGCTGTAAACTTGCTCCATGATTCCAGAGATCATTCGTCTATGCCCACCCAACCTACGTCGGTTCCCAGATTTTTCGGACTCTAAATCTTCTTTCCGTCTTTCCAACATTCCATTTTTCTCAAGAGCTGCCGTCGAGCCGGTAGAGGTATCGTATGAGGTACGCATACATTAACAGAAAAAACAGAGGAATTCCAATGACCGAAAATTTTTCTCAAAGCGAGTACGGACCTCTCTACTATTCCCTGGATGGCCAAATACGATCTCCTCGTTCGGGATGCCAACGCACGATGTACCCCCAGTTGTTCATGGAAGCAAATGGCTCAATTTTGATAGCGCTAGAGGTCGTAATCTGTGTTGATGTTCTTTGCTTCTTTGCTCACGTGCGCCGATAGCACAGTTACCCAGTCCAGTACATTAATTGAAAAAAGTCATTGACGTCAAATAACACTTCAATGACGTGTCTCGCAGTTCAGTACGATACAAATTTACTCGTTTTTTAAACTTGTTATCTCGCACGTCATGTCATCACTCTTAATGGATAGAAGGCCTGTGCTACGTATGCAGCTGCTCACAGTTCGCTCCAATGTCTGTAGCAGTTAACCGCAGGCGCGAGGCACGATAAATCCCCAAGACGTATAGGAGTAATATAGCTAGCAGGTTCAAGTTCAGCGCTCTTGAACAGGCGCTTCGTACTGTCTTTTCCGAGGGAGGTGCCCCTATAGCGCCTTATGAAGCAGCAACATAACGACCCGGATGCTCACCGCCCGCCCACAAATGTCCGACTGATCCTGATGCTACTATCGCTTCATTTGCGAAGTACAGTATGAAGCGAAGGGATTGATATGAAGCGGCTGCGGTGCTGCATGGATATATGAGTACATACATGCAGCCGTATCTACCGTAGCGGTTACTGGCACGATGCCAACGGGAAACTCGTCCAAAATTGCTTTCTGAGTCGTGTAGAACAAAGGCTTTTCTCGCAGGTTTTTGACCATTTCATTTCGTTTTTCACTAGTTTCCCACGGTATAGCAGCCCTACCATTTTGGACCAAGTACCAAATTATCGTAACTTATGCCTTTAAAGATAATAATAATGAGGGCAGGTCTAGCCAAAGACTATATTACGTTGTGATAGGGTGAGGTATATTGATTGGATGTAAGTTGGCGAGAGGCTTCAACAGTTGTGTAATTTTCTTTTTTCCAACCATAAAACCGACAGCATCGGGAAACGCGTTCAGCTTCCAAGTAACGCCCAAGCTTTTGCGTTCACGTGGTGATTTAGGATCTCATATCGGCCTAAAAATTGAACCCCTCAAGCAATTTGTTTTCCAATACGCCGAAAATCGCTTCCTAAATGTGAATTCATCTGGCAATTATGGCCCGAAGATGTGAGGGAATCGCTCGGTGAGTCGGGTTATTGTCGCGGAGGCGCCGCTACCGTCAATTAATGACTGATAACAAACTGTTGGTGTGTTGCATTGAGTGTCAAAGTAATTCATTAGAGGAAGCAGGTGACAGCTTTCCCAGCAGGAACTCTGAGAAATGTCCTCAGCGTCAAAGTGTTTTTCATCGGCATCCATGTGAAAGCCCTTACAGTGTACTCGATACTTTACAGATGATAAATCGCTCGATAGACACTGCAAAATGCCGATGCGATGTGGGAAGTACACTTCCCGAAAGGAATCCCTATCCTGTAAGTATTTTCAGCACTTTCAGATGCGTCTTTTGGGGAATCCATGTTGCAGCGATGCCGCGAAAGAGGCGTCGCTTGTCGTCGCAGCGTGGATCTCTCAACCGGCAGCTCAAATTCAGCTCCGTTATACGATATCAACTGCATTATTTCAGGACACCCTACCATACGATTGTAATCGGGTCATCCTTCCGCGTTTGCCATGTGATGAGAATTCGCATTATATCAACGCCAGTTATGTTAATGTGAGTGAAAAAAAGATTACTCAGCACCTTTCACAATAGGGTCATTCTGTCCTTTGAATTTTTAACCTCACTGAAATCAATTCCATAGGAGTATAGCTGTCAGGGGACTTGAATTATAAATATTCACGCTGAAGTCTCGCTTAACTTCAATACCCCGCCCTTCCCAAACCACGTCCAGCAAGCAAACACCGTCCTCTGGGCGGTTCAAGTTGAGCGGTGATTTCCTCCAGTGGTAAGAGGGAAAACCTGCAAACATTCTTCAGTAATTACTATGCGTTTCCCCGGCAGTAGATCTATCCCCTCACAAGTTGATCTGAAACAAATTATAGGCCCGTTAGCTCCGCCCACCCCACAAACAGAATTGTCACAGGAAAGAATAGATTTCTTTTTCAGTTGTCAAAGCGATTGGAAAAATATCTAAACTTGATTAGCATCAGAGAGGCCAAATATTCGGGAAGTTCCCTCCGTTCTATTCACTCAAAGAAGCGAAAGAACAGCTCGAAGGGATTACCGGGAAGTAAACCATTTTTAGTAAACGATTACTTCGTAACCTTAGTCCTGAACTCCTAAGAGGTCCCTTTGCGGAATACAACAAGGGTAAAGAGAATCGTAATTCGCCGCGCCAGTGGGCGTCGCGTGCGACGTCGCGCCCGCTAATGACGACGATTTTAGGTGGTATTGGTCGAGAATAGACAATGTATGACCAAAAATAGACATAATTGTTTACCATGTCCTTATCTTCATGAAATGCAATGCTCTAATTGAAATGGTAGTGCAAATCAAAACGTCCCCCCCCCTTTTTTTTGCCACGCGCCATGAAGCGGCAATTTGCGGCTCTCTTGCCCGTCTACCATACGACAAAGCCTGGACTCTCACGGACCACAGCGCCAGTGCTGAGTAATGTTTGAGAAATAAGCCAAGGCAAAGGCAGGACTCGAGCCTGTACCTCAAGCTGTCTGGGTTGGGAACTACGCGACGGCCCAGGGTCCCTCCACCTTTTTAGCACCATGGCTCTCTTAATCGAATTTACTTTTGCCTAATTTGTTAAAATTGTCACGAAGTTTAGTGCAAGTAAATGTCTTCCTTTCAGAGTTGGTTGAGAGAAAAAGCCTATGTGGTCACCCAAGCGGTTCGTACGAAACCGATGAATGTCGAATTCTGGCGAATGGTCTGGGAACTTGGCTCGAATTGCATAGTTATGCTTACCAAAGTGTTTGATTTCATGCGGGTAAGCGGGACGAATAGTGTCGCGTTGGAAGGTACGGTAGCGGCAACACTCAGTTGTTCATCGTTTCAGGTAATGTGCCTTCAGTACTGGCCACTAACACGGTTCACATTCGGGGATATTGAAGTGGAAACAATCGAAACCCACACCTACGCACATTTTGTAAGTGATTTCTGTTCATGTCGGAATCGATAGCGACATGACTTATGTAAATGAGCCGTATCGATCGATTGCTGCGCTTTCCTTAGAAAAACAGCTGTTCCGCAGCTGTGCAGATCTGTGATGACACGATGCGAAGAAGTGTTATTAAAACACCTGAAGTTGAGCAAAACACTAGGGCAGGAATATTATTGCATGAAAAACGGTGATAGATTTTGACATGCAGGCGGAATGTTTACCTTTGCCTGTGAAATATCTTTTGGTTAATTTTTTGAATTTTTCTTCTGAGTATGTTTTTCATACAATTTTTAGCTCGTGATTTCTTTCGTAAGTTTCGTAAGTTTCTAATACAGTTTACTCGTTGTCGTTTCCTCTCGAGTAAGTGATATATCGGGAGCCGTTCGGACTGAGAGGGGCACCTTGCCCTTTCCCTAGTTTCCATTGCACGTCACACCTTGGTAAGACCTGCAGACTTTTGTCAAGTATCAAGGAAGCTGTAGCTTAACAAGAGTTTATGGGCCTCTTTGAACATCGGCAACGTGCGTCATGCGTGGGATTTGGCAGATGAAATAAGGCTATAGGACCTTCAACAGGCATCTTGGCATGGAGGAGAAGTGGCGTTTAGTCATGACCCCCTCCACCTGCCTTAGGTACGCCCCTTCTTCTGAATCGCATATCATTCGCGTACTTCCTCACTTCACCACACGGGGCACGTCCTGACGATGGGGAGAAACTCTGCTAAACACCGCTCCCTCAGTCCTTCTATTCGCGCTCCACTTCACACACAACCATCCATCATCTCCAGACTCTTGAAAAAAATAACTCCGAAAAAGTGGGCTGAACCATGAACATTAGCGGATTGAGAGACGGAGAAAGGGCGGAAAAAATCGTCAGAGGAAGAAAATGAAGGGTAGGAGTCGTGTTTTGCAAAAATTTTACTAGCTGCACCGCGTCTTCACAACAAAATCCATTTTTCGCGTTGTTTTAGTTTATTGAGCACCGAGATTTCGAGGCATTTTTACGTTTCTATACTTTTTTCAAATAATTATGAAGCACCCTCTTTTCAGCGCTTTTGCGAAATTTGAGTGTAAGTCTTCAGTGATGGTGAAAGCACGTGCTTTCCGTGCTCGCACCCCTTGCATAGTCTTGTACGCTTTTTCGAAGTTTTATTTTCAGCATTTTTGACCTTCTTTTGCTTTTGTTTTTCCTTTAATTTGAAGTTGACATATTCGATGAGTTTAGTTTAATTTCTTCTCTGAAAGATAATTGAAACGGTAGCCGTATAGCACCATAAACTTTTTATTCTCTCTGATCTGAGTACAGCATCTATCCTTAGGTTTTTCTTGCACTGAAGTTGAAGGTATCACCTTTTTTGCCCTAAATTGCTTTTAAAACTAAGGGAAGTTGAAAAAATCTTCCCAAGGATCCATTCCGCGCGTTCATACATTCTCCAATTGGGTCCCGAACTGCTCTGCATTGTAGTGTTTTATTTTCCTAGACCGTTTGCTTATGAGGGCTAGTTTGCTGTTGCAGTTGAAAGCACATTCCAAGCTCGCCGAAAGGGCGGTCCGGCATAGTTGTGCAATCCGCACCGATGCATCCATTCTCTGAGACGATGTAGGAGTTTGTAAGTCAATGAGGGAACATTAATATAGAATCGGATCAATGATGAGAGAAAAAATACCTCTCAACCGTATATGGAAGCTGGTGCTCATGAGTAACACCGCCCGGGGAGGCATAAAATATGGAACGCAGTCTGGGGAAAGACAGATCCCATAGATTTTTCTAGTTCCAGCTCTCATATGCTGAGGCTACACAGCACTTCTTGTGATCCTGCCTGTACGTTTTTGTTCCATTAAGTGGAGCTGATTCAGTGTTTCCATAGGGATAGATGCCTCGCTTAATCTAGGAAGGTTTGATTGTGGAGTAGAACCGCGTCGCAATCCGTAACGGAACTGCAGTCCCTGACGCAGGTAAAGTACGTTGAGCTGTAGGCCATATCGCCTGAATTATTGTTTAGATGACCTCAAAATTGTTTTGGAGGTGTCTATTGTCGTCACGTTTCCCGCAGCTTGACGCTGATAACCTTGGAGGAGCTTTTCGAGGATTGTAGTGAAAAATTAGAATTACAGTAATGTAGATAAGGACTTTCGCCTCGCCAAAAAGGGCGAACGAGCTTGTGTGTGAAAGAACCAATCTAAAGTGCCGCAGTTCTGGTCGAAAGACGCTGGTCCGCGTTTGCATATGAAGCCCTCTTAAGACCCCCTTCAAAGCTTATTAACGCCGTACGAGTTCGTTTTGAGGTCACTGAGCGATATTAAAGTCGAATTGAGTGAACACCTCCCAAACAGCTTTTGGTCATCATTAGAGGATATCAAATATAGGAATATTCAAAGAATATATTGCCTTTGGCTTTGGAAATTACCCGCTCTCTGAAAACATGTACTTGTGTAGTCCTAATTCTCATTCAGACTGCTTTAAAATCACGAACAGAAGTTTAGTGCATTGCAATTTCTGGCACTAACGCTGGCCCATAAATTCTTTCAATTACCCACCCATCGTTTGTTTTTTCAACGCTTTTAACGAATGCTATAAAAATCACCATAAACCTGGTGTGCTTTTCTTAATGGCTCTTATAAATAGAGGCATTTTGGGCGCAAGGTGTTTTCTAGCTGATCACCTGAAACACTAGAAAGGTTTCTTTCGCTTCGCTAATCGCTGTTTTTCGTTGTTTTCGTAGAGCCCGTGGTTTCGAACGACATCCATGACCGAAAGTTCAGCCCGCTACCATTTTCAGCTTCTTTTCATTAGCAAAAGGAATTTTCAATATTTTCAGGTGATTCGAACATTTCGATTGACGAGGAAAATCGGTGAGAGTTCCGAGTCGCGAATTGTGAAGCATTTCCACTTTACCGAATGGGAGCTCGACTCATTTCCCTATATCTCGGCGTTCATCGAACTCCGCCGACGAGTGCGTCAGTACACCGATAAAAACCCTGTCGATGCACCAATCATCGTCCACTGCAGGTGCGTCTCAACTGGTTTATTTTCATTTTTTCTTGTTCACTTTTTTGTCATTCCTTGTTTTGCTTACTGATTTTCGGCTTATTAGAGCACTTTTCAAGAGCTGTTCTCCTCATAAAGCCAGCAGGGGCTAAAAATTAGACCGCCGGAGCTTCTGCAGTTGCCCCCACCCCACGGAGGCGTGTAATGTTCCCGTTTGACATGAGTGGTGATATGACATGTTACAATTCGATGTGACGTTTGGTGAACTCCGGTCTCGCGCTTTCTTTGGCTCTAGAGGATCAACATACGCCTATTTAGAGCATAGTAGCTTCATTGTCTAAGAGGTTTTCGACTATCTACAAGCTCCAGTGGAGGCTTCTCCATTATTCCTGAGTCTTTTCTCCAATTTTTTAATGATTTCCGAGAATTCGTATTGGCTCGGTTAATATTGGTGAAGTGAGCACAATTTATGTACTAAATGAAAAATATAGAATTTGACAAATAAAGAACTCCTCCAAATATAATAGAAATAACTGGGCTAACGGTATTGAAACAGACATGAAATAACTATTTAATCAATAACGGCTAAAAAATAAAAAGGTTGAACCTTTCGCCGTTGATCAATCCACGACCTGGATCTGGAAATTCTACTTCCATTCAGGATCATAGTGGCCCATTGAATGCGATGTGGCCTGTACAAGGCTTTGCGGGGCCAGCGGATGGACAAGTCAGTGTTCTTATCCTCCCAGACGAACCTGGTACCAATTTACTGTCCCCGGAGGGTGAAGGGCCTGGTAGGCCGGGCCGAAGTTGACCGGAATTTGAGCCCGGGACCGTGCGCTTGGGTGCAATTGCCACTTGACCACCTCCGCCTCATCAATGGCAGTAGCTAAAATTATTCATTATTTCATTTAAGACCATTATTTTGTGAGCAAACTTAAATCAGAAAATATGGGGGGCGGAATTACGAGAGTATAACATGACATCGGTTGTGCGCTCCATTTATGATGGCGGCGGCTTCGAAACTGGAATCGAAGGGGTAAGCACTGTTGCATATCTCCTTGGCGGTCTCGCTCTGCTCTAAAGGACTTGAGAACCTAGAGTCTCCCAACTTTCGACTGCGGGAGGTTGAAGAGTTGCAGTATCTGAGTACATAGCACTTCAAAATCGCCCGCCGGCTCCGGACATTGTCAAAAGGAATCCTCTGCGGATGTTTAGTCGCTGAGGGGTCACAGTCGGCTAGGTGGAAGTCTCGTTGGTTGTTTATTGTTCGGTATTCAGCGCGGTTTGTGCCTCGCATGACGACAATTCGACTGTTTCTGACAGTCGTGTCCACCTCTTCGTCCCGCTCTAGGGATGACGTATCTTGCTGAGAGCCGTTCGTAGTGAGCAAGAAGTTTCCCTCGACCCCAAGCTTGAACCTGCTCGAACCGCCAAAGGATTCCTTCACATGAGCTTTCGCGTCCGCAATGGTTGAATTCTTGCTGAATACATCCCTCGGATCGGCCTCTGGCTTTTATACTTCCTTCCGAGTGGTAAATGTTTGACGCTTTCTCGGTAGCACTACTTCCTTTTGTATTCCTCCCTTTTGTGGAAATCATTCGTAGGTAATTGGTTTGCCCGGTAGGTGACTGCATAAGACGGGGAAGAAGTGGTAGTCCGTCAGGAAAGACGTCTGTTTTGCACTGAGCTCATTCTGTGACCTATGGTCCCACTCATCTTCCTGTTCTCCCATTTATCTTTCATCACTCTCTCGCTGCTGTAGTGTCTCACTTCTTCCGATACTCGTCCAACCTTACGGCCAAACTTGAAGCTTGATCAAAGGTTTCTGCTTTCTTCTTCATCTTCAAATCAGTTATCTAATGTATTTTATGATGTATTTTATGTATCTGAAGTTGGTAGTTTTCATCCATGTGTTTCAATAATTATTCACTACTCCACTAAAAAACCCACCCACCATCCTCCCTCTAGAGTTCTAATGTCGCCCCAGAAACGCACCGGATATTACGGATAGGACATAATCACCATAATTAGAATTAATGCACTTTCTTGGATATTACGGATCGCTAATTGTGTACAAGTAGCGAATGGATGCTTCTTAATTAAGTACCTCTTCATTTTATTTTACCTTACAATATTTTTAAATTGGCAAAAAAATTGCATGTCCTTGAAAGTGTAATGATATTTGGGCATTCATTCAAGTTGGTGAACGAATTAACCGGGCTGCACTCTAGAGTGGAGTCTGAGCTTGCAGTTGCAATTCTAGGGGAAGGGGTTTCAGTGGATCGCTGGCCTGACTCCCAAAATGCTGAGGTGAGGAGGCGAATAAGTGTGCAGAGAGCATTTCGCGCTGATTATATGGGCGGAGACA